AATATTAACCATTAAAAAAAAATCGATAAATTGGGGCACCTGGGTTAAGTTGGTTAAGCATCTGACTTCTTGGTTTCAGCTTGGGTCATGATCCCATGGTTTGTGAGTTCCAACTCTTTGCTGACAGTTCGGAGCCTGCATGGGATTTTCTTTCTCCCTCTCTAGCCCTCTCCTACTCGCGCATGTGCTCTCTCTCACTCCTTCCCTCTCAAAATAAATAAATAAACTTTAAATCACAGAGCTGATAAACGAACTGTATTACTGTATCCAGAATAATGGAACTACTACTCAGTAAGATTAACAATCCACTTTTTTAAAAAAATGAACAGGGGCGCCTGGGTGACTCAGTCGGTTGAGTGTTGCGACTCTGGCTCAGGTCATGATCTCATGGTTCGTGGGTTCGTTCCCTGCGTTGGGCTCTGTGTTCACAGCCCAGAGCCTGAAGCCTGCTTCTGATTCTGTGCCTCCTTCTCTCTCTCTCTCTGCCCCTCCCCCTGCTCACGAACGCTGTATCTCTCTCTCAAAGATAAACATTAAAATTTTTTAAAAATAATAAAATAATAATAATTTAAAAAATGAACAAAAGACAAAAACAGACTTCTGCCATGTGCGCCTCTCTCTCTCTCTCTCACACACACACACACACACACACACACACACAGAGTATACAAATGGCTAATAAGCACATGAAAAGATGCTCCACGTCTTCAGTCATCGGGGAAATGTAAATCAAAACCACAATGGGATACCACTTCATGCCCACAAGGATGGCTACAATTAAAAAGGTAGGCCAACAGGGTGTCTGGCTGGCTCAGTCTGTAGAGCATGTGACTCTTGATCTCAGGGTCCGGAGTTGAAGCTCAGCTCCAAGATGGGCAGAGAACCTACCTGTTGGGCGAAGAGCCCAGTTTAAAAAAAAAAAAGGTAGATAATAATAAGTGTTAGCAAGGATGTGGAGAATTGGAACCTTCACACACCGCTGGCGGGAATATAAAATGAAGCAGCTGCTGTGGAAAACAGTCTGGCACTTCATCAGAAGGTTAAACACAGAATCACCATATGACCCAGCAATTCCACTCCAACGTGTATACTATAGACAATTAAAAAGGGCCACACAAATGTTCAGTGTTCATAGCAGCGTTATTCATAATAGCCAAAAACCGGAAACAACCCAAATGTTAACTGGTAAATAAACAACATGTACTATATCTGTACACAAAGGTACAGACACCTGTTACCACGTGGTAGAACTCCAAAGACGTTGTTTTAAGTGCAAAAAGCCACACACGAAACTACATGTTGTGGGGCACCTGGGTGCCTCAGTCGGTGAAGGGTCCAACTTCGGCTCAGGTCATGATCTCACAGCTTGTGAGTTCGAGCCCCGCATCGGGCTCTGGGCTGACAGCTCGGAGCCTGGAGCCTGCTTCCGATTCTGTGTCCCTCTCTCACTCTGCCCCTCCCCTGCTCGCGCTCTCTCTCTCAAGAATAAATAAAATGTTTAAAAAAAAAAAAACTTAAGGGGCACCTGGGTGGCTCAGTCAGTTGGGCATCTGACTTTGGTTCAGGTCATGATCTCACCCTGTGTGGGTTCAAGCCCCGCGTCAGGCTCTGTGCTGACAGCTCGGAGCCTGGAGCCTGCTTTGAATTCTGTGTCTCCCTGTCTCTCTGCCCTTCCCTACTCACACTCTGTCTCTCTCTGTCTCTCAAAAATAAATAAACATTGAAATAAATTTTTTTTAATTAAAAAAAAAAAGAAACTACAAGTTGTATGATTCCTTTTCTTTTTTATCTTTGAAAGAGAGTGCACACATGTGCACATGAGCAGGGAAGGGACAGAGAGAGAGGGGGAGAGAGAGGCAGAGAAAGAATCCCAAGCAGGCATGAGGAGGGGAGGGACAAAGAGAGAGGGAGAGCGAGGGAGAGGGGGGAGAGAGGGAATTCCAAGAATGCTCCGCACTGTCAGCCCAGAGCCCAACATGGGGCTCGAACTCACAAAGCCATGAGATAGTGACTTGAGCCGAAACCAAGAGTCAGACATTTAACCAACTGAGCCACCAAGTGCCCCTGTATGATTCCTTTTATATGAAGTGTCCAGAGAGGGCATATTTTAAAGACAGAAGCCAGATCAGGTGGAAACAGAGATGGACTGCAAACAGGCACAATGAAACTCTGGAAGGTGATGGAAATGTCTAAAACTGATTTGCACAGTTGTATAAATTTACTGGAAGTCAACAAATCATACATTTACAATGGATGAGTCATATGACATACAACTCGATAAAGTTGCTTAAAAAGTAAAATGAATAAATAAATACAATGAAAACAAAGCAAATGTAATTAAATTTCAGCTAGGTACTGTTGCAGTACATGCTGAAAGTTCCACAAACAAAAGAAAATTGGACAGATGTTAAAAGTTCTCACCACAAAAAAAAAAAAAAAAAAAAAAAAAAAAAAAAAAAAAAAAAAGTGATGAGGATGCTAACTCACCTTATTTCCTGACATGTACATGTATGAAATCATTAGACTGCACACCTTACGCTTACACAATGTTATATGTCAATTAAGTCTCAATAAAGCTGGGAGGGATCAGTGCTACAGATATGTTAAAAAATATTAGCATCCAGGGGCGCCTGGGTGGCTCAGTCGGTTAAGCGTCCGACTTCGGCTCAGGTCATGATCTCGTGGACCGTGAGTTCAAGCCCCCGTTGGGCTCTGTGCTGACAGCTCAGAGCCTGGAGCTTGTTTCAGATTCTGTGTCTCCCTCTCTCTCTGACCCTCCCCCGTTCATGCTCTGTCTCTCTGTCTCAAAAATAAACGTTAAAAATTAAAAAAAAAAAATATTAGCATCCAATTTTTCTCTCCTCAATATTATCGATGAAATTAACAGAGACCTGAGAAGATAACTTTCTCATAAAGCGATTGAATGGTCCACAGGGCCAACCCCTAAAAATCATCTGAAATACCCCTGGGGACCTTGTCCACCCTTGGAGAAACATACTAAGGTCCTGCTAAGGTCATTTCTGCCTCGGACTGACCCTCCCTGAGCAAGGTGGCCCAAGGGACAAGGAAGCCCAGGGGACAGGTTTTGGACTGGACAGGTCCAGGCAAGCACTGCTATGGTGCTCTAAGGTAGCCCATGACATTCACCTGCGTGCCACCCTAATCGATTAGTTGTGGGCGACTGGCGTGTTCACTAATGGCTTCTGAAACCAAGTCCAGGCTTGGTGACAAAGAGTGTCCTGAATGATTAGCCAGGTCTACCACACAGAATCTGAAAGTTGTGTTATAAAGGCCTTGTATTTGTGGTTTCGTCCAAACACCCAAATGAAGGAACATCAAGTATGTGGCCCTCGTCCTGGATTAACATAGGAAATGCCACATTAAACTCTGATATCTCTGCCATGCTACTGCTAACCGCTATTAGGGTCTGAAATGTCCACCTAATTTCTTCTCTAAACCTTTACAGCAATTAACGTTTTAGGAGGACTTTCAGTGCCAGTCACTGTTCTAAATACTGTACAGGGCTCAACCCATTTTACAGATGAGGAAACTGTGACCCAGGGGGCTACGCAACTTGCCTCCAATCACTCAGCCAAAGACAGGCTGGAAGAACATCGGAGATGAAAGAGAATGAATTCAAACAACTGCTTCATGAGATGTGGGGATGTCAGCCCGCAGGCCTCCAGGGATCCCCACACCAGGCTGGGCTGCCCTGCGCTTATGCCTGGGACACAAGCAGGCAACAGTGGCTTCTGCCCACTTCGGCCTCATCCCCTTCTGACTGCCCCAAAACGCTGTGCTAGTCTCTACCCCTCTAATTCTCCCAGACACTCCCCCTTTTGGGGCTTCCAAAATCAGCACAGAGCAGTTCTTAAATCTGAGTGGACATCAGACTCATTTGACAAATGAGTTTAAACGCAGGTTGCTAGGCCCCAGCAGGTCTGAGGCAGGGCCTGGGAAATGCATGCTTAACAAGCTTCCCTATCAGTGGGAGTGGGTGGTCCGCGGCTACACTCAAAGGAAACCTGGCCTGGTGGGTGCGTGAAGGCCAACTGTGAGCCCTACAAGACCCCGATAGAAGATCAGATTCTTCAGAAGCCAGGATCAGGTGATCCAACCGAAAGACCCCCTGAGGTCCAAATTCTCTGTTTTCTTCTTTCCAAGGCAAATGACCCCACGAGGAGATGGAGAGGAAAGAACCCAAGCTAAAGTCCTGGGTCGGTCCACACTCTTTAGAGGCAGCAGAACAGAGTGTAAACAAGTCCACAGAGATCGGATTTGTGGTCCTGTGCCTAGATGTGCTTCCACCCAGGTCTAAGACCTTGGGAAAGTCACTTCCTTGCTGCAGGCTCAGGTCTCCCTGCCACGGAAAAGGAGACCAGAGAACCAGACAGGTCTCCTCCAACCAGTCTCCTGTTCTCCAGCAAGGGCTCCAAGCCTTACCCCATCAAATAATCTCCTTGGGCCCAGCCCCTCTCCTCCCACCCCCCATTCACGTACACACAGGAGAGCTAAGCCTCTGTCCAGATGGCATGGGCAGTGTTCAGAACTACTGGCCCAGTCTTCACACCAAGCCACCGAAGAAAGCCCAAACTGACGATGGTGTGATGTCAATCCCTTTGACAATGACTACTTTGTAAGCGCAAGCTAAGCGCCGAGCACCGTGCTAACCCCTCACCAGCATCGCGCCCCGAACCTCATCCCGGCCCTAAAGCTTTCCGCTGAGTCTCCCCTGTGTGCAGACGAGAAAAGTGAGGCGCCCAGAGGCGAAGTGACTGACCCAAGGTCACCCAGCCGGGACGGGGCAGGCAGCCCGGGGCCCCACCCACGGCCCGAGTGGAGGTCGCGCGGAGCCCCGGGCCGGGAGGCGCAGGGAGGGCAGCGGGCCGGTCAGAGCCCCCACCGCACCCTCTGCGGAGAGCCTCGCGCGGGCGCGTCCTGCCCACCCGGGTTCCGGCCCAGGTCTCGCCCTCCGCTCCCGGAGCCCAGCGGCCGCTCACCGGACTTCGGAGGGTAGCGATAGGCCGAGTTCGCCTGGATGTCGATGTCCTCCACGCCCGCGATGCGGCGGCTCAGGATGGAGCCCATGGTGCACGGCGAGCCGGGCCGGGCCGGCCGGGGCCGGGACGCTGGCGGCGGCGGCGTCCTCAAGCGGACATGGCCCGGACCAGGCCACACGGACACTAGCCCACGGCCGCGGGCGCCTCGGCCTCCGAGCCCCAACCCTCAGCTCCGCTGGGGGCCCGTCGCCACGGCGGCCCTCCGCCCCCCGGGCATGAGGCACTTCGGGAAATGGAGTCCCTTCACTTCCCTTCGCCGCCCAGGGCGACGGGCTGCGGCACGGGCACCCTGCCTAAGAACTACATGTCCCAGGATGCCCTTCGCCACGGCATCATGAAGTTGTTGACCAGTGTTCAGGAACAAACCAAATGGACCTGAATCCAGAGGGGAGGATTCATCACCGCAAACTGACCTTCCCTCTACATTCCAAGCACGGTACTAGCATCGTAACTCTTTAGCCTCCTAATCATCTGTTCATATACAGATCCTCATAGGAATCCAGCGCCTTCCATTTACCCCCTGTCTGAAATATCTCCCCGAGCCACCATGGTTCTCCCCACTTCCCAGGGTTTATCTCCGGTCCCGGCCAGAAGAGGGCATACCTCTACCTGCCGCCCGGCAATAGCTGGGGTGGAACCCAAGGCCGTCAGGAGTGGGGCTTCTTGGCGAAGCCAAGGGCTTCCTTCAGCCCCTTTCCAAAACTCAAAGCTTCTCTTTGGCTCCACGTCCAGAACAATCACTCTGAAAACATAATTTTACAGCCCCACACCGAGGCAGTAGACCTCTTCTCATTTTACATATAGAGAAGAGACGGCTGCATGTGAGGTGTGGAAGGCAAGTTTAAAAAACCGGTCAGGATTCAAGGCTTGCCGATTGCAATGTACTTTCCTGGCTTTTGAGTCACATAAAATTCTGTAAGCAGGCCAAGTGGAGGTCTGTTTGGCCTACTTTTCAGTTGAGAAACGGGTTTCAAGAAGAAAGTGACTTTCTAAGTCAAGTCTGCTGTATCAAGAAAGCTGGGAGAGCAGCAGCTGCTGAAGGGTCTCAAATGGTAAATGCACCACATTCCACGTTAAAGTGAGTCCTACACATTTCCGGTGGCTAGAGTCCAGAATACAACCTTCTATTGTCAGGGTACCTGGGAAGCCAAAGTTAATAGAAGAGGTGAAAGACTTATGTGATTATGAGTAGAGTTCCAGATCTTGGAAGAGCCGGATTAAATCTGTGCTTCACAATCAAGATCCCCATTTACGGAGCACCTACTGTGTGCCAGACATCACGTTGAGGACTTTATACAGAGTCATTGAATTTTCTGATGTAGCTTTTATTTTATTTTATTTTTTAAATGTTTATTGTTAAGAGAGAGAGAGAGAGAGAGAGAGAGAGAGAGAGAGAGAAGATGAGTGGGGGAGGGGCAGAGACAGAGGAAGACACAGAATCTGAAGCAGGCTCCAGGCTCTGAGCTGTCAACACAGAGCCCAACGCTGGGGCTCAAACTCACAAACCATGAGATCATGACCTGAGCCCAAACTGGACACTTAACCGACTGAGCCGCCCAGGTGCCCCTCTGATGTGGCTTTTAATTCCCAATTCACAGAAGAGGAGAGTGAAGCTGGGAGACGTGAGGTACCCAACTCAGGCTTCATTGTAGATACATGGTAATAAAGCTGGAACTTGAACAAAGCCCCTCCTTTTACTGCCACACTCCCCTACTTCTCCAGAGGCAGGAACATTCAGATGTACGATGTTTCATGGCTCTTGCCACCGGATGGGCCTGAAGACGCCTCCGCTCTTTGTGATCTTTCTTCCCCTACCTTTCCTTCTGTTAAATCACATAACGCTTGTGTGTATACACACACACATATACCAAAACTGAATTCAATTTACTGGCCTTCCTGTTTGGGGGATAGCATAGACCCTGACGTTCTCATTGAAAAACAATCCTAGGAGCATGTCCTTCCTATACATCCTGGGCCAGGACAGCCATTTCCATGGGCTGGATGTTTGATTAAACATCCTTCTTAATAGAGCTTTGGACTTGTTCTGTGCTTATCCATGCCCCGCTGGGAGACAGGCCTTTTTTGATTTGTTATTAGTTCTCCTGTCAACATCTGTGCTGATTCCTTTATTTATTCAACAAATATTTATTACTCAGGTACTATGTGATGGGCAATGAGCCAGACTATGAGCCAGGCAACAGGGATCAAATGCGAGAATGCTAGATGTGGACCACACAGGCTAGTGTAGAAAGACACTAAAAAGGTGAACAAAATGTGGTGGGTGCTATAGGAGAATAGAGGTGCAAATAAATGATAAGAGAGGGGCGCCTGGGTGGCTCATTTGGTTAAGCATCTGACTTCGGCTCACGTCATGATCTCATGAGTTTGTGAGTTCGAGCCCTGCATCAGGTTCTGCACTGATCATGCGGAGCCTGCCTGGGATTCTCATTCTCTCCCTCCCTCTCTCTCTACCCCTCCCCCACTTGCTCATGTGTGCACTCTCTCTCAAAATAAATAAAGTTAAAAAAATAATAAGAGACACCTACTTATTGATAGGGGTGTCAGGGAAGGCTTCTCTGAAGAGGTGACATTTAAGCCAGGACTTGAAATACAAATAAGAGCAAAGGTAGGGGGGCAATTCTGAGGAAGTAAGCCAATCCAGGTTCCAAGCAGAGAAAACACCAGGTGCAAAGGCCCTGAGGCTATAAGGAGCTGAGTAGGATCCAGGAGCTCAAAGGCCAGCGTAGCTAAAATCAAGGTGGGGGGTAGAGTATAAGAACAGAGGTCAAGAGTGAGTCAGTGGCCAGATCTCAAGTCCCCTCAGTCAACCAGCCTTGGGTCTTTTACACTTCATTTTAGCCAAATGACCTAAAAGCGATAGCATTGGGTCTTTTGAAAGACACTGGGCACCTGCGGTGAGTCCCTTGAGTCTAGCTTTCTGAGCCTTCTGAGGGGGGCAGGATCCTTGCCTATTCATTCCTGTGCTCCCAGAGTCAGGCACCCAATGATCTATGGAGTGTTTGAAAGAATAGAAGCAGCTGGCTCAGTCAGCAGAGCATATGACTCTTGATTACAGGGTTGTAGGTTCAAACCCCACATTGGGTGTGGAGATTGCTTAAATATTAAATCTTAAAAAAATAAAAAATGGAGGTGGGAAGGAGGAGGCCAGGGCATGCTGGGGAGGCTCTGGCAGAGCCTCCAATTCCCTGAACTTCAGGTAAGATGGTACTGCTAGAAATACCTTTTATTCCCCTGCCCCCATCTACTGGTCCCAGCTGTCAGGCGCCTGCTAAGAAATCCAAAGTCCATTCTTTAGCCAGGCTGATCCTGGCTGAAAACAAGGTTGTTTTTTCCTCCCCTGCTGCCCTTGGGAAAACTAGCAAGCTAGCGGGGCCATGGGGACCAAAAGAGTGACCTTTGCTCCTGCTAGCCTCATCTGCCCCACCCCAGCCAGAACAGCTCCTTCTGAGCAGGACAAGCCCGGGCAGGTAACTGAGTGTTGCTGGATAAGGGTAGGGGGAAAGGTGAAGGTGCTTCCCGTTTCCTTGAACAAGAAAATCCCCTAGCAGGCCCTGCCAGGACACTGCCCGTTCTCACTCGCCAGACATACACCCTTGTGGGCTAATGGGTGCCTATTCTTCTCCACTGGCTCTGAACACAGGCAAGAGTGTAAGGAGGTTTGGATTCCAGCCTTAAAAGTTTCCTCGTCTGTAAAATGAGGCTTGGGCTCCCTAGAGTGGTCCAGATGGAGGCAAAGAGGAGAGTACCAGAAATAGTGCTGAGCACTTCACAGCTATTAATCTACCTTCAGCAGTCCTGGGAGAGCTCCACACTCCTACCTTGGGTTCCACAAATGAAATGAAGCTCAGGGCTGCGCTACTTGTATCCAACATCAGTCACTAAGCAGTGGAGTCAAGACTGACAACCAGATCTATCTGGCTCCAGAAGCATCTCACCGTCCATCATGCTCCGTCTCAGTGGAATAGTGATGGCAGAAACCACATCCAAAGCCCACTACCTTCTGCTGAGCGCTTTACCCACGTTAATTCATGCTTATGATGCTTTGTTAAGGTGAGGCGCCATTCTTTTTAGTTATTTAAAAATTTTTTTTTCAACATTTATTTATTTTTGGGACAGAGAGAGACAGAGCATGAACGGTGGAGGGGCAGAGAAAGAGGGAGACACAGAATCGGAAACAGGCTCCAGGCTCCGAGCCATCAGCCCAGAGCCTGACGCGGGGCTCAAACTCACGGACGGCGAGATCGTGACCTGGCTGAAGTCGGACGCTCAACCGACGGCGCCACCCAGGGGCCCCAGGTGAGGCGCCATTCTTAACAAGACCAGGAATCTCCTGGCACTATCAGGGTTTGCAAAAAATGGCAGAGCCTGAGTGATCCCCATGTGGCAGAAGAGACACCAAAATCTGATTTCCCATGAGGACAGGATACCTCTACCAGGCTGAGGTGCACACCTGGCAGAGGACACTGAGAGTCCACCCCCTGCCTGTAGGCTAGGCCAGGGAACCTAGCCCTTGGAGGCCGCTTAGCACTCTCATTGTGCAGGTCTCCCTGGAGCTATCCTGGTGCCCCAGCACTCCCCAGGCCCCCACAACCCTGGATCCCTTCAGGCCCTGTCCACCGCGCTCCCATTATCCTCCTCCCACCAGCTAAAGACAGAACCTCTGGAAAGATGAAAGGATCCAGGAAGGGGTCCCCCCCACCCCTCCGGTGTGGGATAGCTCCCTCCATCCAGTGCAATTCTAACAGTGAAGCGCTGGGTAGGGAGGGCGGGGTGCTCCCTTAGAACCAGACGCATCCGAAACATTTCCTGATCCAGACTGGACCCTTCGGCCACCATCTGGACGCCACACTGAGCCTAAAGTGGACAACTGATCAGATCTAGTAAAACCTCTCAATGACTTTTAACCCTAACACCCCAGGGCCTGTATCAGCTTCCAGAAGGCACTTTTCACACTTCTACATTTCCACAATTGTACATCCGTTCCTTGGGATTTTTGACACACAGCCC